ATTACATAATGGGACAATTTCATGGTCACGCGTTGTTTACATAGCGTGAATTGTCACCTGCAGTATCTTTCCCGCCGTTTTGCTGTATGTCTTACTTTGGTCTTAAATAAATGGTTGAGTTACAACACAACACTTTACAGTGACCTTGTAGGGACAATTTTGCATCGGGACTCAGAATTTTTAAATAAGATAATACGACGTTTACATCCCAGATTTCAGTATACTTAAGGAATGTGGGTCTTGACTGGAAAACGCCCCTCATAAATCTTGTGACTAGAGGGTGATTCCCCACAAAAATGTTTCCAGGCAAGACAATAGATGTAGACAATGCACCTTCTTGCAATATTAAGAGCACTATAGCCACAGTTAGCCTCCAACAGTTCAGTTAGAAAATGTAACACTTCCTCTACAGGTGGTGAATCTCCCTCCAGACTGTTAACCGTTTTTTAAAAAATACGTATGTCGGACATCTTAGCCGCCTGAACGATGCGGCCGCGTGTGTTTCCCATTTGGGTCTGTCAAAGTATTGCCCACCTTGTTGGTTGTGATGATATCTTTGATTTTTTTGGGAAAGTCATCCCTAAAAAGTTTTTCTGTCAGGTCTATCCTCTCTGAACAGAGTTGCTGATAAGACCTATTAAGGTCTGGCTTAATGAGGTCATGGTGTCTGTGATTAAAGGTTATAGTTGGCATGTGTTATCAATGCAATTGCATCAAAAACTGATTTTGTCGCTTCAATAAGCGAGCTCTTTGATTGATCTTTTGACTCTAAGAACTTATCAGTGACTTCCGTCAAGACCGTCGTCGCTTTCAACAACGTAGTTTGGATTTTTTGGAGTTTTAGATCTCGACTCCGAGTGGCAAGGCTCATCTTTGCCCAAATTTCTCCGTTTACTTTCGTTCTCACTAGTTTCTCGCAGTTCTTGCGCCTAATATACTGCGTTAGCTTCTCCTTCAACTTGTCATTAACAAGCTTTGATCGTGCCATTTTGTTTTACAATAGCGGCCAGCTTAACCTTTTCATTTACTAGAGGTCCCCACTTCTCGTCCATATCGTACTCCTGAACAATTGCTCCGAGAATTAATTCGTTTTCCTCGCCAAGCGAAGACTCTGGCAGGGAAGTGGATTGCTGAATAAGTGAGTTAATATCTCCCTCAACATCGCTCACAGGACCAGAGTCCCTCAAAGTATCACCGCTAACGCGGGAGAACTTTGCTTTGATTGATTTTATCTCCCCAGAATCAGACATGCGGTCGCTATCTGTTAACTCCCCAGAGATTGCTTGCCTTTTTCTACTTGTTTGAGCTTTCTCTTCAAGTAAAATATACGTAAGCTGATCGAAAAAAGCTTTCATTGTTGCTACTAATGTGTCGTGCAAAGAAAACTTCCGGAAGTCGCCAGTTGCTGATGTCGGTTCAGATACAATTTTGGCGTTTATACAGTCCGCTTTCTCGCTGGAGCATGTACTCGCCGTATCCTGTTCGTCTTGCCTGCCTTTTTGCTTTCGCTCGGCTATAGGTTTTTCAGTCACGTTGCTGCTCTTAGGCCTGGTGATTTTTTAACTGTGGTCCATTTTCTTCACGATTGGGAATTTTCCCCTTTATGCTGACAATTTCTGGCTCTAGAAACACGGCTTCAGGTTTTCCCGCCATGTCTTCGAAATCTGCACACACCGTACCACTGCTCGTGGTTCTTTGGTGATTTCACCAATATCGGCCACGCTTACATAAAAGCTTCCGATAAGTCTTCCGTTCTTACGGTATAGCTTTTGTAGCCGTAATGTTCTCCTCAATTTCGAACACAGACAGGGAGGTGAAATAACACCTCTGTTCGCTTCGCTAAGCAAAAACGTTTTGAGCTGAGCTGGCAGGTCGCACAATCTCACGTGATCCATGAATGACTTATCGGTGAGGTAGAGTTGCCTATTAATTGATTTTTATTTCAATTTTAATTCAAGGGAAAGGAGGGAGATCTTGTGTACGCTCAACTCGCCAATTTTGACAATAAAACTGACGCCACTAAACCACGAAAACCAGCCAGCTATGAGCCCACGATATATGCTGATGTTGAAGAACTACCTCC